CTACACACCATGGACTATTAGTCAATGATAAAAATGCCTTGCCATTTGTGATAATACAGATGAACTGGGGGGGAATATGCTAAATGGAATATGTCAGAAGGAGAAAGACAAATATCAGATGGTGTCACTTATATGTGGAAAATAGAAAAACATAGCAAAGGGTCAAATAAAACCAACGATAATAAACCTTAGAACAGCATAAAAGTAATATAAAAATGTTTTAATATAGTATGTGTAATTATATAATTAGTGATGCACTTGTATCAATATGGATAATAGTAATAGAACGTGGTTTTAAAATTAATACAGTAAGAATTTCATTTTTCTACACAGAGAAAAAAATGAGTACAACAAATAATATACCTGTGCATATTTGCATTCTAATCATAAATTATGGCATGAACACAGTAGAATGTGGCTGTCATATCTGTACATTACCTATTTTCCCCAATATCTCTTCTGTACTCAATGAAGTCTACATTTTTATGTCTTCTGATCTCCCTGTACCTTAAGTGCTCATACGGAGGAAATAGGTCTTTTTATGTGGATTGACAGTGAATTAAGTATGCTATTGCATTTGAAGCAAGCCAATTAAATGAATGCTACCTGAAACTATGTAAATTATAACATAGAAACTAGGGGAGACAGGAAACTGCCAGTAGGTAGAATCAGGAAATATGATGATGAATACCTGTGACACCATGCTGTAGCAGGCCTCAGATGAAAGCATAGAGGTGTAGATGGTTTAGAGAGCCTCTAGACAGCTGTGCTGCCAGTCCATAGAAAGTGAGCATGTCTCTGTCTTCAGCAACTAAGAATCTGAAAAGCAACATTTGTCTATGAATAGATTTGGGTAATAATTACATTTATATGGGATGTTATTTGTATTTTTAAACCTACTGTCTCCTAGATCTGGGATTTTGGAATACACTGCCTCAGAGCAGAGGACAGGGAAGCCTGCAGGGTAAGAAATAGAATTTAAGGAATTCCAATTATTCAGTACCCCTTGCATTGGATGGTCCAATACATATTCTCTCTGTAACAATGAATCAGGATTCCAGACTCCTCAGGACTCTCCGGATTTTATCTTGCCAAACTTTTGTTCACACACAAATAAATGAATAAAAATAGAAGGAACACTCTAATACAACACAAATCAACCATCCACCACTTTGAGGTCCTTAGAGTCTTGTCTCTTGTTAGCTGAATTTAACCTCTGTCCTGAATCTTTCATCTCCTTGTGTGTTCTTTTAAATGTATTCCACCTTCTTACTCTCTTTTAAAAAAAAATAAACTCCCATTTATATTTGTAAAAGTAATTTCTTTTTAAATGTCATCCTCATTTTTAGGAGAACTTGGTTTCAAGGCCTATATTCATCTATTTTGAAATTATTTTCAACCACTTCTGCATCATTGTGGAAAGTTCAATGACTTGCTGTCTCTTACAGCTAACATTATATACTAAGAAAAATAATGAAAATATAAATAAATTAATAATAAATTAAAATATTTCATTAATCTTCTGCATTATAGCAAGCCTCAAGAAAATGTTTTCATAGGTATTATTTTAATTGAAGCTATTACTGGTCATTGAAAGCAATATTGGTCTGAAATCACTTAAACAAGAATTTTAGTTTGATAGCAAAATTCAGAAAATATGTAAGAATGAAGTGATAGTAAAATAAGGATGATATTCTCTCAGTTTTTAATTTTTCAAAATTTATTATGGGATTTTGAGGTCTAGAGTTGCTGTTTACATCCATGGCATACCAAAGAGGAAAATCCATGCATGAGATCACATTATGTACACAATCATAATATAAGAGACATTAGATTATATTCTTCCCCTCATTACAAATATTCTTATAACTCAACTATTGATAAATAAATCAGTCATATGAAAACATTAAGATTTACTTTAATATTCCTACACTCACAATCTTGACAGAGGTAAAGGGATCACAATCCTGACATTCTAGAATTACTTTGGATTAAATTGAGTTTAAGGCAGATGTAATCCAGCAATCCCAAGTACATCCAAATGTTCTTCAAAGGGAAACCATCCAAAAGCCATTACTGCCTCCAGTTCTGGGTCCATAGTCATTTGTTAAGTTGTTTTCTCCTTGGCATGTTTTAATGTTGCACTCCAAGCTATTCCAAGCTCTTTGCCTAATGAGAAGTTTCTGTTAGGTATATTGAGATGTGTTAAAAAAAAAAAATCTGGAATAATTCCTGTTTAGAAAACTGGTGATATAATATACAAAGAGTATACTCTTTTTTAATTTTTTTAAGATTTATTTTATTTATACAAGAACTGGAGTATAGACCAGAGGTGCGAGGGGTGAGAGGATTCACCAGAGACAGAGTGGGGAGAAGAACAGGCAGATTGACTGAAATACACTGCTGAGGGGAGCAGCAGGCGAGGCAGGAGAGGTCTGCTGCACCATGTGGGTGTCTCCCTGGCCAGCCGGGATCGAACCTGTGCTGAAGAGGCTGCAGACAGCTTCACAGCACTGCGCTTAACCCACTGTGCCACCAGGGAGGCCCAGAATTTCCACTTTTTAAAGAGAATGAGTTCACTAAGAAGAGGGCTCAGTGGCAACAAACGTGTCTTCAGATGTCCTCAGGGGAGCAAAAGCGCCTACCGCAGCTGAGAATCACTGATTTAAGCTGTCTACCACAGCCATGATGCCTGTAACTTGAAAACCTGTAACAACAGCTAGTCCCAGAGTTTCTTGACCTGATGGCTGGGGGTCTTTTCTGTGAACAGTTCAGATTTCTTACTGCTCTTTTCTTTGAGGTGTGGGATCATACTTTATTCTTTGATTTTGTTATTAAGCAAATGATTTTAACTTACTTTCCCTGACAGGTGTCAAGGTTAAATATTGAAAAATCATTCTGCAGGATTTTTTTTTTCACAATACCTCAAGTGTTCTCAAACTTAGGGTCTTAATCAGAAATGTATTAATCATGTCTTTCTCTACAGTATTTGCATTTTTTGGTAATTATAGACTAATGAGTATGCCCTTTATGTGATATTTTAGCTCACTTATGCCTTTATAAATATTTCAGTTTTGTGATAATTAAGTAAATTGAATGTAATTAATTAGAAATGCAATCAGTGGATATAGTTAGGAACTACTCTAATGTAGTACTTTTAATGTCCTAATATTCTTTTAATAAATTCTTCATGAAGATTTTTTTCTTTTTTCAAAATCAGTCCCTAAGTAAATAAACTAAATAGTTTTCTGATTAAGGAAAGTTCAATTCATATAACAAGTGAGGTGTATTTGCTATTCATTTGATTTTGTTGCTCTTTACAGGAATTCATACAGAAAGTGTTCAGCAGAGTCATTCTGAAAGAAATCATTTCATTTATATAGTAACTCTTTTGGAAAACTAAGTTTATTATGCAAATCTCAAGCTTCAAAATATTTAATTATAATTATGTCAAAGAAAATTAGCTAAGAGGTGAAACTTTTTGATGAAAAGTAAACAAAGATTGTGTGCTTTATTGAAAATTATTTTAATGAGTAATATTATAATCAACTTTTGAGCAGAAAGTATGTGATCGCTCTTTTTAATAGACTAACAGCTCATGTATTTTCATTGTTCAACTATTTTTCAGACTTCCATTTTCTTAGAATAAAAGATTACTGCTAAAATGAGTCACATTTAAAATACAAATGAATATGGCATAACATACCTTTGAAAGGTGTTACCATATTTTCAAATTTTAAAATTCAATATTAACTTTAAGAAACTGACTATGAACTTTTCCTGCTTATACATCACTTTCAATTGCTCTGAACTTTGGAATTATGTTATAAATTATGTTAGAATTTTCTTCTGACCGGGTCCAAGGTTCTGTAACATTTTTTAAAGAAGTTAAAGAAGATAATATTAAATTTAAATTCTCAAAGTTTTATAAAACTTTTTTGTTTTTTATTAAAGCACTCATATTTTCTTAAGTTTTTCTGCTTTAGCTATTGGGATTTTTTTGATTAGATTTAAAATTCATTGTGATTTTACATGAAAAAATATTTTTCCATTTATTGAAACATTGAATAATAAAAATAAAGATGCCCTTTGATTAGATTATCCCTCAAGAAGTTCCACTAAACCACTACAAATATATTCCTACGGTAATACATTTTGATCACTTGTGGCAGGGCTAGTTAGAATTTTTCCTGCCCGTTATTGAGTTATTGGACAAAGAAAAAAATATTGTACAGATGTGAGTAATTTGATTTGCCAGTGGGTGTATTCAGTGCTTCTTGATATCAGATGAAGCTGAATTAAATTAGTCATTGGTGCATTTGTCGATTGGAGCCTGAAAGTCTGGCCTATTTAATTTTAAAATAATTTGTACTGAGTAAATTATGTACATAAGCACTAAAGAAATCACATTACTTCAGAATTAGCAAGATCTATTTCTTTTAGAGTAGGAAGATAATTATCTCTCAAAAGATGGCTTAGATTTACAATTTTTTAATCAAGTCAAATATGCAGTAATAAAATATTATATTAAGAATGAGTTAAGGATACTCAGGCTTGAAAGTTTATAAAGAGTAATAATTGTGAAGAAAATCAAACAAAAATAAACATTAAGAAAACCTTACATACCATGATAATTTGGGTTATTTGATTTTAACTTTATATAAATTTTGTTAACATTTATTCAGAACCTGGTCCGTGGTAGCTACTCCTCTGGGAAAACTGGCTGATTTGTAAAACTCTAGGTTCAGTGTTGTCCCAATTATTCACATGGAATAATTGCAGTTGAGAAGACTAAAGAAGCTAACCCCAAATTCCACATTTAGGAATTGAGAGTGTAAGATTTGAATTCAGATATAATGTGCAGATATAATGTTTCATAACATTCTTTTATCTTTTTATATAGTGTGTGCAACAGAATTGCCAATGTACTATTGTCACTCTTGACTTTCTATTGATACAGCTAAATGCATTTGAATTACTCTTTTTCTTTTTTTGTACAGTGCAAGCTAGAATATCAGACATGTGTCTTAGGAAAACAGATCTCAGTCAAATGTGCAGGACGCTGTCCATGCCCTTCTGATAAGTCCACAGGTACAAGCAGAAATGTTAAGAGAGGTATGTGAATATTTATAGTTTTACATTCACTCCTGCTATTTGGATGTGTTGCAGTAAATGTTGTCATTAAATATGCAATGAAGTTTACTAATAATAATTATGTTGTAGGTGAAGCTTTTTGTTATTTGTTTTTTTCTGTTAGCCTAAATTATAGTAAGTAGTGATTTGTTTTCCTATAGGTTTCAATTTATATTAGTAGTAATAGCTGGGTTTTGCTTTTCTATATGTTCACTGTGTACAAGATATCTAAAACAATACACATTTACTGTGTTTTAAATGTGCTTTACTTCTATATGATACATATATAGTTTATATAAATTTTCCTACTAAATAATTTTATAAATTGAACTTTCTTTTGATTCGATCTAGAGTTTTTACCATTTTTAAATTTGTTTGGTGGTTAATAAGATAATGGCATGCATCTAATACTTTGTGTGTCAACAAATAATTTCACATTTCCTAGATTATTTATTGTAGTACACTTGGTATTATTATTATTTTATTTTTGATATTGTTTATGACTTTAACGTATCTCCTTGGTTCTAGTAAGTTCCTCACAGCTATAAAGAAGGAAATACAGGGAGTAGATTTTTTAAAAAGTCAAAGGCTATTGTATAAATACTATCATCATTTATTATATAATTTATAGCCATCTGAATCTTGTAATTTAACAATTATTATACTGGGTTCTTAAGGTAGAGAATTCGTTTACAGAAAAATATGAACCATCAATATGCCTTTAGGGGAAACAAGTCTTAATTAAAATCAAGTTAATTTAATGTAGGCTATGTATTTACTATTGTTATATTTAAGATAATTTAAAATTTAAAAAAGAACCTATGGTATCAACTTTAATAATGCAATTAGTCAATTTTATTTTTCAAAAATAAATAATAACTCCAAAAGTAATATAATTGTTTCTCAAATTAATGGTAAGCTATTGCTCAACTGATAGAAAATGTAAAAACAGACACTAACTGGTGGAGGAAAGCTTCTAAACTACCTACTAAGAGTCATCCTTAGTGCCTCTCACCAGCCTAGGGCCAGCTTCAGAGCCTGGTTTTTCTCCCACCAACACTTGTCCAGTCCATTCCCTACACCATAGGTTAATAGAAATGCTCAATAAGACCTTGAATGCATTAATCAATCCCAATATAATTAAAAGCTAAATATAGTTTTCTTTTCACTGAAGTACTGTGATATCTTTGCTTTTCTCATCTCCACTCTGTATTCACACAATTGAATACATTTTTCTGTGAATGTTTCTTGAGGTATGAAGTAAATCTTATTCAAGTAAATCAATATCCATGTCCCAATCTTTGCATTGGAGATTATTGAGAACACCTTTTGAGAAGGAACAGTCAACATATGTGTATACCTTTAGCAGATAATACTTTATCCAGATTTCTTTTCAATTAAATTGTCTGCTTTTAAACTATTGGATGAGAAAATATGTTAGATGTAGTATCAATTTATCATAACCTCCAATAAACTATGAAAGGAACTCAATAGGCATTAAATATGGACAGTAACACATCTAGAAAGTGGGTCCCTTGTGAATAAACAATAATTATGTTTCATGTTGTTCACATTCTCTGTACAATGTTTACATTAATATGTCAAGAGGGAAACTTTTCTTAAAGTCCTATCATCAGGGGATAAAGATCATTTGTGTTCAATTGTGCATAGAATGAGAAGCAAGAAGAATCTAAACTAATCCTGTTCTGATGGATTGTCAGAGCCAAGCAAGTACAAGATTTTGCTAACTGTTGTGAAAAAGCAGTACAAAAAAAATCGTGAATGTCATTTCTACACAGTGCGAAAGGCCAACAGACATGGGAAATGCAAAACTTAGTTCAGTACCATATCTAATCTTTGAAATGGCATTTACATTGGAAGCATGCCTTCCAGTAGTACAGTATAGGAAATTCTACTTACTGACATCTCTGTTTTAGAAAGTGTGAGGAAGACAGTATCAACAATGGAATATTTCTTAAATCTTTCTGATTTCTTACACTTAAAGCCAAATTGACATCATAGAATGTTTACATTATGTTCAAAGCAGAATGAATTGTTTTAAATGACTTGAAACATATGAAAACTAATGAATATGCATGTATATTTATGTAGTAGGGAAAATAAAGTTTTCCTGTTTGCAATTCAGTAATAGGTGTGCTTCATTTGGTCACTTATGAAGAAAAATAGGTAATTTGCATTTTTTTCAATGGGATGCATTTGGGTGGCTATTTCAGTAGTTTAGAAAGAAGGCAGTTAGATCCTAGCAAGAAAAGTGGATGTGAAAATAAGAGAAGAAATTGAGGTAGAATAATACTACTGAGGATTTACAAAGCTGAAACCAGCTGTATGTGATGGGCAGGAAAAGGAATATGTCAAAGATAATTTTGAGTTTAGTGATCTGGATGAACTATAGGAGGCTACTAAAAATATCAGTTTATTTTTCCTGGTCCTATGATTTATATTTCTTCTATCTCTCATCTGAATTATTTTTTGTACAACTTACAGTTCCTTTTATCAGAAGCTGAGAATTATGTAACTTACCATTTATGTCTCATTTTCTGGGGGTGTCAAAATTAGATTCTCAATCACAGTAACTCCACTCGCCCTTCATTTGACTATGTGTGTGTGATTGTGTGTTTTAACCCTTTACAGAATTTTCTTTTTATGTATTTTGTTATCCTATGTAGTAGTATTACTTGTTGGTTAAGAGGACAGCTTTTAGAATTCCATTTCAGCGCCAGTTGTGTGGCCTTTGGCGATATATTTAAATATTTGAGTCTCAGTTTTCTTCATGTGTAAATCCAAAATATTTAAAGCCCTAAGATTTATGGGTGCATTTCCTCAAGTTAAGCCATCTTTGTATCCCTATTTCATATTAATTGATGATGCTTATAATATGCTGTTAAATACCAATAAATTATTGATCTTTGTCCTATATTAAGTAAGATTTGTACTTTTATTTTTTATACTATCTTTCATCAGTTTGGGTTACAGAAAATTGGAGCATTTTCATTATTGTTATAGTAAATAGTTTTATATACTTTGAAAAATATCTATGCACTGGGAGTTTGAAATAGTTGAACATAACTCTTAAGCCTGAGTTACTAGTTATTTTCTCTGATAAATCTTTGATAAATTTTTACATTTTTGTTGTGACTAGCAGTTGCATAGTGTATGTGTGTAGCTTTTTAATACAATTGTATTAATATATGCTTTATCAAATAAAAATCTGCTTATTTAAAATTTAAATGCATTATATAAAATTTTGTACGATGCTACTTTTATAATTGAAAGTCCTCTACAGATCAGAAAAGTTACGGTGATCTGACTACAACTCTGAACACATTTGTTAATGCCTATACATTCATTCCTTCATTGTGTTTGCAATTATAATTTTATGGAGTTAATATATTAACTCCTTAAATTCTTAAGTACTTAGTTTTTTGCTAATTAGCTTACATCAGAATATGGGCATAATCAAACTGGCATTATAGGACAAGAAATGTTAGAAGAGGGCCTCCCTGGTGGCGCAGTAGTTGAGCTCTGGGTTGCAAAGCTGCCCGCGGCCTCTGTGGCCCCAGTTCGATCCCCGGATGCTCCCCGGCCACCGGAAGAGGGTCCCACATGGCGCGCAGACCTCTCCTGCCGCCCGCTGCTCCCCTCAGCAGTGTACTTTGGTCCTTCTGCCTGCTCTGCTCCCCGCTCTGGCTCTGGTGAATTCTCTCACCCTCCCGCGCTTCTGACTGTACCCAGTGCTTGTATAAATAAATAAAAATAAATCTTAAAAAAAAAAAAGAAAAAAAGAAACGTTAGAAGAAAGCTGTTTTGATTTATGTGCTGTCACCAAAAATGACAGCATTTTTAGGGGAAAAAACAAACAAACAATAAAAAACATGGGCCTTGATGTTGGCCACATATTTTTATACCTGATGGGCATAGCAAAAAACAACAACAAGAAAACATTGTGTTGTTTTCCTTCTTTAGTGGAACCTGCATCTGACATGGAAGAGAAGGAATCCCCTGGTATCAGACCCCATTGGTACTCATGAATTTGGTATGGAGTCAGGGATCATTCAACAATGTCAACAAAAGCATAGTTCTTTTAAGAAAAGATACCTCAGCTAAGATGGAGTGAAATGCTTTTAAATAGATGTGGGGAGCTGTAGGTTTTCAAAGTCTTGAGTTGGTTTTCCATCTGTTCAAGTAGAAAGCCTGATAGTATTTAACAACAATAGGGCAATGTGGTGATAAGTTACTCTGTGATCTGACAGTAATTTTCTTTCTATTCATTTCATTGCTCTGAATCCTGTGGAGTCCTATGAAGGAGATTTTATTTAATTATTGTGTTATGAGTATATATAAATTTATTTTATAATAGAGAGCAGTATAAGTGCCATATTTGCCTTTTTTAATGGAAAAATTGTTTTAACAGTTCCATTCTGTAGTGGAATTTTAAATAACTATGATGAAGGGATGAATATTCAATAGGGGTTTAAGAGGAGAGGGATGTCACCTAGATGATAATAAAAGAGTTTCCTTGCTTTGCTTCGGAGAGGAACATCTAACATTTAACCAGAGGAACACCATAGTAACAATGTGGCTCAGGATGAAACTGAAACATCCTTTGGATCAGACACTAAAAGACTGCAGTTTAGGGAACATGGTGGAAATTCATGCTTCACTGACAAGAGATAGGTGGAGTGAAATGTCTGAGGCTACAGAGGGGGCAGGGAACACAGAGCAGAGGAATACTGACTCATCTAGGGACCCTGAGAGGGAGTTGGGGGGTGTGGGAGAGCAGAAATGATGTGAAAGCACATGCACTTCAGTGAGGGGAAACTCGTGAAGGAACTAGGTTGCTCCACACAGGCTGGATTCCTGATGGAGAAAAGGACAGAGAAGGTACAGTACTTCCAACCTCCACCTGCCAGAGCCTCCTGAAGTGTACTGACACCCCAGACACTGCCCAGTCCCAGATATGG